CCCATGACTCATCTGAATTTTCTACTTCCAGTTGTGTTCCCTTGTGTGTGTGTGTGTGTGTGTGTGTGTGTGTGTGTGTGTGTGTGTGTGTGTGTGTGTGTGTGTGTGTGTGTGTGTGTGTGTGGATGGGTAGGAGTATTGTGGCAACATGTTCCACTTATTGTTGGCGTTGTTAAGGACCCGTAAAGCTTACGCCTTATTGAACCCTACTTACCGGGAGTCCCGGAAAAATATGTTGCCCGTATCTGGGCTGGAACTATAAAGAAAAGTTCCAGCGGGAAGAGACAGGACCGCTACGTTCTCATTTAGGTCAGGTAGACCACCGTGCTTCAGTTCCACCGACAAACACGCATAGACCAATCCACTCCTTCACCAGAGTCATCAACAACAGGACTTCCACTGGCCTACAAGGTGATGTATGGCTGCCAGACCGACTGTCCACGAACCTCTTAACCTGCATGTATCCTGACGAGGGGGGAAAAAGGACTAATTGCTCAGCAGCGGGCAGTGTGTAATTAGGAGGAACGTCCCAGGAAAAAGACTTCGCCACTGGTGATATTCAAGGAAGTGGATTAAGAGTGAAACGTCCTTTCGCTCCACCGAAGCCAGCGTTGAAGCCCTGTGTGAAAGGAAGATGGTGGTCTTCTTGCTGGCTTCAGGGCGCATTGGGGTCATATAATACGCACGGTTATTAGCCTTCAAGAGAGAGCTGGACAGATACCTAAAGTTGGTGCCGGATCAGCCGGGCTGCGGTTCGTACATTGGACTACGTGCGGCCAGCAGTAACAGCCTGGTTGATCAGTCCCTAATCCACCGGGAGGCCTGGTCAAGGACTGGGCCTTGGGGGCATCGAGGTTTCTTTTCCGGACGCTGGAAGGTAGAGCTTGATACAGCGTACACTGTCAGTGGCCCTATAAACCCCAAACAACAACAACAACAAGGAGGAGGATGGTGGTGACGGTGTTGTGCTACAGTGTATCTCCACGGGTCATGGCAGACCTACAACAACCTCCCACCGTCAGTATCAGGTCCGGGACCTGGTGGTCACGGGTCAGGGCAGGCCTACAACAACCTCCCACCGTCAGTATCAGGTCCGGGACCTGGTGGTCACGGGTCAGGGCAGACTTACAACAACATCCCAACATCAGTATCAGGTCCAGGACCTGGTGGTCACTCTCACAGCAAGTCTGCTTTGCCATCCCTGAATTACTCGAGTATCTATGTACAAGTAAGGTTGTCTGCTGTCCTTATTTTGTGTACAAGTGTCTGCTGTCCTTACTCTTGTGTACAAGTGTCTGCTGTCCTTACTCTTGTGTACAAGTGTCTGCTGTCCTTCCTTGTGTACAGTGTTGCTGTCCTACCTTGGTAAGTGTCTGCTGTCCTTACTCTTGTGTACAAGTGTCTGCTGTCCTTACTCTTGTGTACAAGTGTCTGCTGTCCTTACTCTTGTGTACAAGTGTCTGCTGTCCTTACTCTTGTGTACAAGTGTCTGCTGTCCTTACTCTTGTGTACAAGTGTCTGCTGTCCTTGTTTTGTGTACAAGTGTCTGCTGTCCTTACTTTGTGTACAAGTGTCTGCTGTCCTTATCTTGTGTACAAGTGTCTGCTGTCCTTACTCTTGTGTACAAGTGTCTGCTGTCCTTACTCTTGTGTACAAGTGTCTGCTGTCCTTATTTTGTGTACAAGTGTCTGCTGTCCTTACTGTTGTGTACAAGTGTCTGCTGTCCTTACTTGTGTACAATGTCTGCTGTCTTACTGCTTGTGTACAAGTGTCTGCTGTCCTTACTCTTGTGTACAAGTGTCTGCTGTCCTTACTGTTGTGTACAAGTGTCTGCTGTCCTTTGTTTTGTGTACAAGTGTCTGCTGTCCTTACTCTTGTGTACAAGTGTCTGCTGTCCTTACCCTTGTGTACAAGTGTCTGCTGTCCTTACTGTTGTGTACAAGTGTCTGCTGTCCTTATTTTTGTGTGCAAGTGCCTGCTGTCCTTATTTTTGTGTACAGGTGTCTGCTATCCTTACTGTTGTGTACAATTGTCTGCTGTCCTTACTGTTGTGTACAAGTGTCTGCTGTCCTTACTGTTGTGTACAAGTGTCTGCTGTCCTTACTGTTGTGTACAAGTGTCTGCTGTCCTTACTGTTGTGTACAGTGTCTGCTGTCCTTACTGTTGTGTACAGGTGTCTGCTGTCCTTACTGTTGTGTACAAGTGTCTGCTGTCCTCACTGTTGTGTACAGGTGTCTGCTGTCCTTACTGTTGTGTACAGGTGTCTGCTGTCCTTACTGTTGTGTACAAGTGTCTTTTGTCCTCACTGTTGTGTACAGGTGTCTGCTGTCCTTACTGTTGTGTACAAGTGTCTGCTTCCTTACTGTTGTGTACAAGTCTCTGCTGTCCTTACTGTTGTGTACAAGTGTCTGCTGTCCTTTATGTTTGTACAAGTGCTGCTGTACTCACTGGTGTCAGGTGTTGCTGTCCTTACTGTGTGTACAGTGTTCTGAGCCTTACGTTGTGTACAGGTGTTGCTGTACCTTACTGTTGTTACAGGGTCCTGATACCTTACTTTGTGTAAAAGTGTCTGCTGTCTTAAGTTGTGTACAAGTGTCGCATGTCCTACTGTTGTTACTAAGTGTCTACGTCTTACGTTGTGTACAGTGCTGTTTCTTACTGTTGTTAACAAGTGTACTTCCTTATGTTGTTACAGTCTCTCCTTACTGTAATGTACAAAGTGCTCTGTCCTTATGTGTGACAATGTGTCGCTGTTCACATATTCATAAACTGATAAACATAGTGATGTTAGTCTAGGTTGGTTTTAGGAGATTGTCTCCGTTATCATTAATAATAAGGTTAAAGACTCACAAAAACTTTGTAATGCATTTTAATATAAGTGGATTCTTATAAATTAAGGTATTTAGTGTACCTTTTTAATATAATAAAACATGACTTTCACCACTTCAAATTAAGAAGACCTTCATTCTTAGCTGAAGGACCTTTAATATTCAGTTGAAAAAAGTTACATCATGCTCTATTTCTCACAGGAGTAGGCTGTGACTTAGAAGAACTTGAAGTCTTACAACACGAGAATTCTATATAATAAGAAATTCACAATTTCTGTATGACTTTAGTGAAAAAGCCTAACCAAATCTTAACGTATATGGTTAAAATGAGTAAGCCGTTGAATAGACTTCATATTACTAGAAAGTGATTTTGTACTGCCTGCCCTACTTCACTCACTCAACGTAAGCTGTTCACGCGAAGTAGTAACCAAGAGGTGAGGTCAATAATGGTTGTTAATCATTTGTAAATGATGCATTCAGCGAAATACATATATTACATAATGGAAAATGAGAAAGATACAAATGTGTTGTAATATTATAAGCTGATTTTTGTAGTTAGATAATTACAATATAATCGCAATGTATATATTAGATGGTGAACAAATTGCAAGACATATTTAGAGATCGCATGTCACGTAAACATTTGTACAAGTGTCTAGCTGTACCTACTCATATGTCTAAGAAAGTTGTATATCTTCTCTTATCACCTATTTGTTTGAGGGGCCAGTCTCAGCACCTACCCCACCTCTTTAACTGTCGCTACTAGTCTTCCTCCTCTGCTCCATGAGCTTTATTATACCTCATTAAAAGCTATGTATGCTTCCTGGCACTCTGTGATTGAGAAATCTTCTTAGCATCCCTCTGACTCAAATGATCAACTAAAATTGTGACCCCTTGTTTCTGTGTCCCATGTCTGGAACATCCTGTGTGTGTGTGTGTGTGTGTGTGTGTGTGGTGTGGTGTGTGTGTGTGGGTGTGGGTGTGGGTGTGTGTTAGAGAGAGAGAGAGAAGAGAGAGAGAGAGAGAGAGAGAGAGAGTGAGTGAGTGAGTGAGTGAGGGAGTAATCAAGCAAGTTTGGCTCGTCACTTAAACACCTACTTATAAGCAACACTTCAAACTGTGTGTGTAAAAAAAATCTGGGAACTGCGGAAAGTGAAGAAAAGTGCAGTATAATTTTTTTTCGTATACTAGCTCTGTTTTAAAGAACTTCTAAATAGTGCGAATTTTTTGTAAATGGAATTGAAAAAGTACACTCAAAATTGAATAATGCATGAAAAGGCCTTCATAGTATGGGCCTATTCAATTTTGGATGCCCTTTTCAATTGCATTTGCAAAACATTGCACTAAATACAATAGCTTTATAAAAGAGAGGAGTGTGTTATGTAGTGTGTTAATCATGTAAGTCAGTGAGAGGCAAAACATACACACCCAGTTCATTTATGGTGTCATGTGTAAAAATTACATCATTTTGGCAAAATTTAGCTATCTATAAACCTGTCATTACAGTAGCTAACATAAGGAATAATTTCTGAAAGGAATATTTGGAAAGTAATCCAGCTTTTGGCCATTATTTTTCGTAATGGGTAACTTGTTAAACATCTAGCTTCTGCATCTGTTCGTAATGATGGTGAGGGGGTGAAAAAATGAGGAATGCAACTCTTTTTGTAATTTGGGAACTTCCTGTAGCCTAGAATATATTATTGATGGACTGTAAATTAGTAATTTTACAAGTATATATTTTCATTTGCTGTCCTCTGTTATTTTTAAAATTATATGGGAAAAACTCTGATCTATATTTATATTTTGTGTTAGCTAACATTTAACCTAGATTGTTTTGGTTTTAAGAATTTGATGTGTATCTTGTATGTGTATATTATCAGTATGGAACAGTTTTAATGATAATTAATAGGAAATTACATTTATCATTGTGGTATTTAGTTTCTTTTATTGTGATACATGAGCAAACATTAGGATATTTTCATTAGAAAATGTTTTGGGACCTTGTACAGAAGTAGCCAAGGTCCCAAGACCAAAAGGTATGTATTTAATATGTCCTAGTGTTTGCTCATGTGTTTTTTAAACTGATTTGTTGGTATCAGTTACCTAGATTTACATCATTTACTGTCCTGAAAGATGTTGTTTATTATATATGTGTATTTTTGTTTGTTTCAGAGCCTGGGAAGGAGAAAAGTGAGGGTGTGAACGGTAGTGTGGGTAGTGGTGACGGGTGTCCTGAGCAACACCCAGCCTTCAACCCCCTAGCCTCCAGTGTTCCCACTAGCACCACAACACTAGCCCCTCTCACTAGCCAGCCGCTCACCCCTCCTGAGTCCCAGCCACCTGACTATCACGGTCACCATCACATCATCTCGTCGGAGCGGCCGGAGCGGCCCACCTCACTCATGGCACCGGGTGGTAAGTGGCAGATACGGGGCCAACATGGTCCTGCCTCCCCTGACTCGACTGACGCCGTCTTTGTGACTGCTACTAACACCACCTGTGCTGCCACCACCACCACCACTACCACCATGTGTGGGGGCCGCCATGCCCGCTGGCTCCTGTGTGTGCCCTCCAGCTCTATGCCTGGGGACCAGTACCAGCCCTCCAATGCTCCCCTCCCTCAACAGTCCCGACCTGTAAGCTCCCCCAGTTCGCAACAGCCTCCCTCGCTCAGCTCTGTGGTTGCTCCCTCCTCGGTCACTACTACTACTCGTTCCCTTCAGTCACCCTCATCACACTGCAACCTAGCGGGTTGCTTCTTGCGGCCGGCCCTTCATCCTGCAACCTCTACCCCGGTGCAGCAGCCATCACCCTATGCTCCCCCGAGTCCTCATCCTCCCCCTGGACTTCCCTCACCCCAGTCATACTCCTCCACTCAATCTCAACCTCAGACCTGTGGGGGGCTGACCGTGACCTACGCTCCCACCCCGTTTGTGCAGGCTAGTCAGCTGACCACTTCATCGGGTCATGTTGCTCCCACACACACTGGTGGTGCCAGTGTCTTCCCCTCAGCTTACCTCCCCACCAACACCACCACCACGTACTCTTTCCCCTCTGTGTATGCGGCGAGCAGCGCAGGCGGCAGTGCGGCGGCCGTGCGGCCCACCTTCTCGCGGACTTCCCTGTCTGGTGAGTCCTCGACCCCAGAAACACCAGCAACATGAGCATGACTGCCGCCAGCATGACACCAAAGCCAGCATGACCTTCCAGCATGGGAACCTGCACTCCCTCTCTCCTCACCATCGTGCAGCTTTACCCTATTCCTTTGCCTTTTCCACTTTTTTTTCCTCCCCCCACCACCATACACATTGGTTCACATGTAAAACTTTTGGCGACATAGTTTACCGGTCCAGATACAACAATAGTGTTTTTTGGGAATGTCAGTGTTCACATCCACGTATTGTAGAAATCACCACTTGAGAAATTTTTTCAACAAAATATTTAAGTCTTTGCTTAGATGTGTTTCAGTTTAAACCACTCCTGTCCCTCAAGTAGCCCCATAAGTCACATTCATAAAGCCTACTACTACTACTACTACTACTACTATTTAGTGCCTGTGTGTGTATTACTCCAGCTAGATGCATATCTTTAGTGACTTGACCTACGTTTGGAGCACTTCAAGGCATTAATGTGATTCATCTTCAAAATGGTGTATAATTTTCCCTCCTCACACTCCTATTACGTTTCAGTTTCTGATGGTGGTATGGGTGGCGTACAAGTGTTGCCTAGTGAAATACCTAGTGGTCTACACCCGGTGCATCAACGAGATACCCACACTTACTACGGTGGGGGACAGAGCTCTGCCGATGAGTATAACCCCAATGACCCCCATTATATGGGACACCACCATGTTGCTCACCTCCCGGAGCCTCCAATACCTGTATCAGAGATTGGGCCCATTCCTCCACCTCCAATGTTTTCCTCTCCATCACCTGTGGTCCACCCCAGGAGTCACCCGCCCCCGCCATATCATCCCCCGACCTCGGTGGCAGGAGCAGGAGTGCAAAATGCAGTGGGCCACAATCTTTCCAACTCTGAATATGGTGGTAAGTTTTATACTCAGTTTTTAATGATATTGTCCTTTTTTTTCATACTTTCTTACTTTATAATGGTTTTGGATGGACCGAAGCAGTGGTTTCCAGAGTGTATGAACACAGTCTTTATGACATTCTCATTTTTTCAAACTTCTCCCATCTTACAATGGTCCTGGACTGAAACAGTGGTTTTCATTTTCATTATGTGGAATAGAACAGTAATGAACTTTTTCAGCCGTGATATTGTGGCTTATTCTATTTAGGCAGTATTTTTATGTCTAAATGTTAGAACACTGTACGTATTAAGATTATTTTTTTTAATATACCATAGGATTTTTCACTGTTATTTTGAAGAAGTTTGTACCAAGGTGAGGCTTGTTGTCTGCTTGTACTAGCCTAATTATGTTCACAGGGGTCGATTAATGTGGTTACATAAGTTACGAGGGACAGTCAGTGTATCGAAGAGCATATTTTAAATTCTATGCACAAATTTACTTCTGATAAGTATAATAAACCAATCTGACTCAAGAAATCGTAATGACACGATTGCAAACAAACCATACCCCCGGCCGGGATTGAACCCACGGTCATAGAGTCTCAAAACTCCAGCCCGTCGCGTTAGCCACTAGACCAGCTAGCCACAATAAGATTCATCCAACTAGGTATATTTCTACACCATAGGAAGGTTAGCACAGGCACCTCTGTGACCACAAATGCATTTGTGGTCACAGTGGTGCCTGTGCTAACCTTCCTATGGTGTAGAAATATACCTAGTTGGATGAATCTTATTGTGGCTAGCTGGTCTAGTGGCTAACACGACGGGCTGGAGTTTTGAGACTCTATGACCGCGGGTTCAATCCCGGCCGGGGGTATGGTTTGATAAACCAATCTGTTCAAAAATATTCAATTCGTATACAATAGAAAACCTGGCCACACATATGTAAATATATTATGCTAGGCCAAAGGCCAGATCCATCAGGCTGTGGTAGATATGTGGGCCAGCAGGCTACCAACAGCAGTAGCCTGGTTGAGCAGGCACTCTTAACAGGAAAGTCTGGCCTCAGGCTGTGCTGTGAGAGTAGAAGATGAGTGCTTGAAACCTGTCACAGGTAAAGTACAGGTATAGTTGATATATTGTTAGGAGAAAATCACAAAAGAAATGAGATGCTTCTGAATGTTTTTACAGTTCTAGTTTTAAATACATTATTATTATTATTGTTGTTGTTATTATTATTATTCTCATAAAGCAGTTCTAGTTAATACATTGTTATTATTATTATTATTATTATTATTATTATTATTATCAAAAAGTAGTTTAGTTAATACATTATTATTATTCTCTTCAGAAAACAGTTCTAGTTGTTAATATATTATTATTATTATTATTATTATTATTATTTATTTTATATTATTATTATTATTATTATTATTATTCTCAGAGAATAGTCATTCAACACTGTATTATAGTATTAATATGAAGTTCAAAATTTGCAAGGGTTATTCAGACACTGATGTAGAGGAAAACCAGAGAGAAAATCCCATTATTGGTCATGTATGTTTTACTACTGGGCAGACACTTCAAAATTTAAGTTATTTTAGTCATTATAGTAAAAGAAAAAGAAGAAAATTTTTGAGTAATGGTGAATGTGTTTCTTTCTTTGGGTCACTTTGCCTTGGTAGATAATGACCCATTTTTCCTATACTGTATCAGTCGAAAATATCATTTGGGTATCCTTTGGATATGTCGTCTACCTGGGCATTAGCTGTCTGTTTTGGATGACATCCTGTATGTATGTGCTTGACAATTTGCAAATGAACGAAATTATTTACAAACATTATCTCTCTGTCCACAGCAGGATTCAGACCTGCAAACTTAATATCAGAGTTCACAGTACTTTATCCACACAGCCAGACTCCGAATAAAATAATGTGTACTCTGATGCTGAGATTGCAGGTTCGAATCCTGCTGTGGACTGAGAGATGATGTATGTATGTATGGATTTGCTTTGAAATGAGCTGAGGAAGGATATCAGCTCTGATCCTGTAAATTCAGTAGTATGAAAAATAATAGATCGAATGAGTATGAAGATATCTAATAAGATAATTTAGATAGCTGATGAGCTTCTCAAAATTCCTGACACTTCCATCGTATTATTCATAAGCTGGCAAAAATTTTGTGGATATTGTGCGAGTTTCTCCATGGGGACATGAAAGAGAATTCTTTCTTCGTAAGCCATGCTTGTCGTAAGAGGCGACTAACATGCCGGGAGCAAGAGGCTAGTAACCCCTTCTCCTGTATACATTACTAAAGTTAAAAAGTGGGCTTTATAAAGTCACAAACAGATGATTTCATATACAGGAGGGTCCCACATATACAGCAGATTAGGTTATGGGCTACAAATGCATATAAAAGCCTGGTAACGTATTTACATTATCATATATTAACCCGTAAATGGTCCAAACGTATATATAGGGTTTTTCAATATTTGAAAGTATGTAAAAAAAGTAGATCTTTTTTTTTTTACATTTGAAAATGTGTAAAAAAAACTTTGATATACTTTTTTTTTTGTTATATTTGAAAATATGTAAAAAAATGTAGATCTACTTTTGGAGCACTACACATGTGAACGTAGATCTGCTGGACCGTTTACGGGTTAAGTGAGCAGTAGAGCTAGGTCTAAAAAAGGCATACAGTGGACCCCCGGTTAACGATATTTTTTCACTCCAGAAGTATGTTCAGGTGCCAGTACTGACCGAATTTGTTCCCATAAGAAATATTGTGAAGTAGATTAGTCCATTTCAGACCCCCAAACATACACGTACAAACGCACTTACATAAATACACTTACATAATTGGTCGCATTCGGAGGTAATCGTTATGCAGGGGTCCACTGTATACAGCATACACATTACTGACCTTAAAATATTTTCATCCCTGGCTTATATATAGTGAGTAGTGATTACTATATTTATTTTACAAAATCTCAATAAATGAAGAATGGGTCTAACTGAAAACCACTGCATTAGCGGAACACTGTGAAGGTGAATTTATTTCTTTACCAAAGGCTTGTTGTACATATTTGTGTCCGTGGTTACAAGAATTAGTCTTATCAATAAGATACACTACAAAACAAGCTTTTGTTAGGACATTTTAAACTTGAGCTCTTGATGAAAGATCCAAACAGATCAGAATATTTTCCCAGTAAATGTCTTTCTCTACAGCATGTTCGTTTTTTCACAGTTGCCAACAGTATGCTTGTTAGATGCAGGATAAGGCCCTGTTATTCAAGTCTGACCCATTACCATAGTTATTTTTTTAACATAGATCATTCAACACGTAGAAGGTGGTGACCCATAATAGAAACACATTCACCATCACTTATGTTTTAGCACTCTGAACAGAGGTATTCCGGTGTCATTCAGATAAGGAAAGTCACAAGAGGAATGCTGTATGTAATAGTATTACTGTATTACAGTTTTTAAATGTAGTCGGCCACCTAGATGAAATGAGGCCTAGTTAATCATACCTCTTGGTGCATGTACAGGTGATCCTCGACTTACGATGGTTCAACTTTTGGCATTTTAACTTTACGATGGTGCAAAAGCAATTACAGTGGTCCCTCGATAATCGTAAGGCTCGATAGTTGTAATTTTCGAAAATTGTAACATTATTTTCATCAAAACATTGGCTCGTGAATCGTCGTTTGACTCGCAAATAGTCATTCGTCTGGGACGTGTACACACAGCCCTGAGCCGCCTCACACTCCATTCCCAGCCAGTGTGCCATTGTTTATCAGTGAGTGAGGATGATACCACGAGTTCATATGATACATTTCATAATATATTCCATTTATTTTAGTACTTGCAACTGCTAAATAAGTCACCATGGCTCCAAAGAAACCTTCTAGTGCCAGCCCTTTGGTAAGGAATGTGAGAAACACACATAATTTAAGAAAAAGTTTGTAGAAAAATATGAAGGTGGTGGTGGTGGTGGTACAGTGGAAGCAGTTGTGATAGTGGTTGATGGTGGTATAGGGTGGTAGTGATGGTGGTAGGTGGTAGTGATGGTGGTAGCAGTTGTAATAGTGGTAGAAGGTGGTAGTGATGGTGGTAGCAGTTGTAATAGTGGTAGAAGGTGGTAGTGATGGTGGTAGCAGTTGCAATAGTGGTAGAAGGTGGTAGTGATGGTGGTAGACGGTGGTAGTGGTTGTGATGGTGGTAGAGGGGGCCTTCTTCAGTGATTCAGCGATACTACTAACTCCTCCAATGTTGTTGGAGTTATATAGGGCTACAGAAAACACCGCCGCCTCAGCTGCTGCTTCACCACCATTATGGATGGCTTACTCTCAGTGGCCCTTATATACCCAACAACAACACAACACAACACCGTGTGACATACATAATGACTTATTTTATTCATTCTAGAGTATATTCCATGTTTCTGTGTTATTAGTATTGTTTATTATGTCATATTAGTTGAATTGGGATAGATAAATAAGCCGCAGAGCTGATATTAGTGTCATATTCTCCAACAATAAACTCGCCATCCCTCCCTCACACAAACAAGTCTTCAATAAAGGTAAGTGTGATGTTAAATAAGAACATAAGAACTTAAGAAAGGAGGAACACTGCAACAGGCCTGTTGGCCCATACTAGGGAGGTCCTTCACAAATCCAACCGACTAACAGAACAAATGCTACCCAAGCAATAAGCTCAGGTGCAGGTCCGACTCAAATCCAACTCCTCTCACTTGTGTATTTATCCAACCTAAATTTGAAACTACCCAATGTTTTAGCTTTGATCACCCTACTAGGCAGACCATTCCACTCCTCAACTACCCCCTACTACTAATGTTCATTTATATTTTATTAGTGCTTTACATTTATTTGGTATTCTTTTCTGCATGTAAATCTATATTTAAGCTAGGGAAGTGACCCCTGAAGTGACCTAGAGTCCTTATGGAGGGGGATTTCCCTTCCAAACAATAACCTCTCTTCCCACTCTCCCCTTCCCAGTCTTCCATTCATCAACAACAGCTTTCAATAAAGGTAACTGTCATGTTGAATGTTCATTCTTTTGTGCATGTAAATCTATCTTTAAGGTAAAAAGAAAATTGTTGTTGATACTTCTGGGTGTCTGGAACGAATTAATTGGATTTACATTATTTCTTATGGGGAAAATGGATTCGAAAATCGTCAATTTCGATAATAGTCACACTTCCAGGAATGGATTAATTACGAAAAACGAGGGACCACTGTACTTTAGAGACGAAACTTAAGATAATTACCCAGCATGAAGGCAGCAAGTCCATAACTTGTATTCATTTATTAACCTTTCAGTCATGGTATTTAGTTAGTTACAGTAATTATTTGTTTATTTACTTATTCAGAGACAGTACCTATTTATTCACTTATTGAGCATATCACATTTACATTCGATTTATGATATTTTCAACTTAGGATGAGTTTGTCGGACCGTAACCCCATTGTAAATTGAGGGGCACCTGTATAATGAAAATATTTCACATTTCTAATTCACGACATTGTAATTTTAATTAGATCTGTGTGTAGTGATGGAGGCCAGTGAATATTTTTAATACAAGTAGCCATTTGTAGATGCTTCTAGCATTTCTTCCAACATTTCTTGTAGCATTTCTTCCATAAAATGTTAGAGATGGTGGTACATAGCAGCTTCAGTAGCACTGATATTTTACATAATCTGCTTTTATCTTATTTGGTTTGTAACTAAGAGGTAAGAGTAAGGGTAGATGAAGCGGTGTTGCTGCTGTAGTTATTAATTCTTTCTCTGGATGTGATGTAAGTGCTTTCTTACTACCCTTAATATGTGTCGAGATTAGTTATATATAATTTCTCACTCTCTTTCTCTCTTCCTGTTTTGCTCTCTTGCTTTTTCACTGTCCCTTTTTTGCTTTCTCTTGCTCTCTCACACTCTTGCTTGCTCTTGTTCTCTCTTGCTCTCTATATTGCTCTCTTCTCTCTCTCTCTCTCTCTCTCTCTCTCTCCATCTCATTCTTAATGCAAATCATTTGAAGATTTTCTCCATCATTCTTCTCTCAGTGGCAATAATAAAATAGTGTTATGGTGTAGTAATAGATGACCTCATTGACTGCTTCACCATGGTCATTTTTATCTTACTCTATATAACGTTTCAGTTATTTTTTCATATTGTTTTTAGCAAGGTTAGATTAGGCTGTGTTTTAGGCTTCATTATACCAATGGAATCTAATAGCTAGTAAAGCCATTTAATAGCTAGTAAGGCCATTTAACAGCTAAAAAAGGCATTTAATAGCTACTATTGGCATTTAATAGCTACTAATGGCATTTAATAGCTACTAAGGGCATTTAATAGCTACTAATGGCATTTAATAGCTAATAAGGGCATTTAATAGCTACTAAGGGCATTTAAAAGTGACAAGTAGGTGAATAAGATACATGTTCAACACTTGGGTGTCTTTATTGTGGTGCAGGCGGAGTAAATCGGCAAGAAAGATACATAAAAAGGCTCCAACTGTTTGTATATTCTGTAGCAGTAAAAAGGCTTTTGGATGAGCTGATGTAGGTAACAGCTCTTAGCTTGTAAATAAAGTTACAAATCCTTAACCTAACCTTGTAAAACCATGTGTAAAAAAGAAAAGAAAAAACCGTGGTTAGAATAATTCATCAAAAACCCTCACTTTGGAGAGGAACCTCATGGTGATGTTTTGGTCAGTCCTGGACCATTGTAAAATGGTCCAGAACCGACCAAAACATCACCACCAATGTTCCTCTCCTAAGTGTGTCTTTTTTGTGAAAAGAGACCTAAGTGTTGCACATGGGTCTTATTCATCTATTTTAGTTTGCTAAATACATAATTAGTGTGAAAACAGTTTTCATTATAGAGTACTAAGTCTTCGACTTACAAACACGTCGGTGACCTCTGAATTGTGTATAATATTCATAATACAGAAAGTCTTCAACTTACGAACACATTTGGGGATCTTCTGATTTGTGTATAATAATAATATTATACACAATAATGATGTAATAATGATATTACGTATACACAACGTATTTGTTAGCCGAGGACTTACATTTCATTGTATTCCTTGTAGGGCAAGTCTTCAGGTGATGATTATTTTGTTATCTAGCTTTTCATCTCAAACTTGTATTGCTTGACTTACAGTAATAAAGGATGACGATGTGATTGGTGAGGCAGCTAATGGCATCCTCGGCTGGTTTGAGGCCAGAATGGCGGAATTTGCTAATGCTGGTAAACATTGCGGTAGTCAGGACCTAAGTATTTCACTTCCATTAATATATATGTAAATGTCATAACTAACATCTGCACTAACTGTGCTTAGAGTTTATGCTAATTACCATGCTTTGATGACCCTATATTTGAATGAATACTTCAGAATATAGTCTGGTATTTTGAATGGTTGCTTCTATTGACAGTAAGCAGACCCAGTGCCAACACAAGGTGTCGAGTGTGTTGCACACATTTTCAAAATTGTTTAGTTTTGCACATTTTTTTTTTAATTTTCAGTTCCAGGTATGCTCTAATATATTTTAAGTAAGTCAGAAACACCCTTAGTAAAACTCAGTTCAGCAATGAATTTTTTTATGGATAACTAAAGTGTATTGAACACTTGTCAGTGTTCAGTAATAACCCACATGGAGAGACAAACTCAGGAGATTAATTGATCTATATATTTTGACCTCCTTCTGGGATCCTCTTTCGGCAGATGAGAGGATCCCAGAAGGGGACTGAAATATACCATGACTAGTCCAAGTCGGATCGAAATGTCGTAATCTCCTTTCTCCTATATGCAGGTTATTTGTGTATATACAGACCTATTAATCTTTTGAGTTTCTTTCCCTGTGGGTTATTATTGAGCACTGACAAGTTTTTTATATATTGAGAGCTCCGATACTTTTTAATTTGTTATTAAAGTCAAATATGAAATATAGGAGTCTTTGGATGTTCAGAGATCTCTCTCTCATTGTGTACAAAAATATAATGGATATGTGGGGCAGCAAGCCGCCAACAGCAACAACCTGGTTGACCAGGCTAGCACCAGACAAGCCTGGCCCATGGCCAGGTTGTGGGAGTAGGAAAACTTGAACCTCTCAGAGGTATGTTGAAGGTTAGAGGTATACATCCAGGAGGTTATCTGTATTTGTTCTTTGGTCACTGACTGAAACTGTTTGGTTCCAGACTGAAACTGTTTGGTCACTGATCAAAACAGTTTGGCTCCTGACCAAAATGGTTTGGTTGCTGACCGAAACTGTTTGGTTATAGGACAGTAGTTATTTATTTACTTATTTATTTAGCGTATCACATTCATGTTCAACTTGCCACATTTTTGACATATGATGGTTTGTCAGAATGTAACCCCGTTGTAAGTTGAGGAGCACCCATGTATTGTTCCTGCCTTGGTATTGTGACTTTTTATTCCGTTTGAGGATTAAGTATGCTCTCACAGTGTGATGCAGCACCATTAAGGTCACCATGTGTACTTCTTGGCTATGGGTCTGCTTCCTCTTCTTATTGTACCTACGTGTTCATAATTCAAGTAATTCATGGTGATATTAAGCTTTTCAAATTTAATTTCGTGCTGTTACCATCGGCTGATTAAAAGCAAGTGTAGCCCCTGGGCATCACACATACAGATTGCTTACCATGTGCATTATAGTTATGTGTTTATGCTTCAAAATCTTGCTTATCATTATTCAATAAATGAGTAATGAAATTAGCTTAAATTATTTGGGAATAAGAATGAAACATTTATTTTGCTTCGTTAATCAATTTGAAAAAATAGGCACTTGAGGCCCCTCACTCTTGGAGGTTTTGGGGCGACTGACCTATTTTTCCTTCCATCATAATTGTCTGCAACTGACTACCACTTAAGAGGCACAGGTGGTGTTTGATAAGAAATAATGGTAATAATAAATAATAATAATCTTCATTTCTACAAGTACGTGATACAACTTATACAGACCATAACTGACATCAGTGACATCTAGAAAGCCCCTGGTTATGCAGTGCATTTCGGGCCAATTAGGTTAATTTTGTCCCTCAGGATGTGACCCACACCAGTTGACCAACACCCAGGTACCTACTTACTGCTAGGTGAACAGGGACAGTAGGTGTCTCAAGGAAACACACCCCAGTGTATCCACTCATACTGGGGATCAAACCACGGATCTCAGTGTGTGAGCCGAGTGTGCTAGCAACCAAGGGGTGTGAGGCGAAGGTCATCCTTTGTGAAGAACAATTGGAATTGGCTTGAGAACAATCTCGTAGACACAAACATGACTAAAAAATTTATAACCATGTTCAAATTATTTTTATAGAATTAACATTTATTTAGGATATCTTTGGCATTCTGGGTTGATTGGCTGTGACACTGAAGTCTTCTTTTCCACACGTACAAGAAATGAATCCATGTATGTGGGTAAAGTTTTGTCCTTCTCTTCAAAGGAGGATGTGCTGTAAATGAACTTCACGAAGACTTTTTTTTTTAATATTTGGCTCTTGATAAAACACTAACCGGTAAAATATGGAACGTGATGAAAGAACTATATTTGAAAAAATACAGTTGATGGGTGTGTTCCTGGGAAAAATAATAGCAAGGAACAATTGCAAAGCTTGAAATATGTTCAGCATTTCGAGCAAGTTTAAAATTAGTAACTATAAAGGTAAGGTTGTTTTCTCTTCCTACCTGGAGCATACCTGGAGGGTATTCTGGGGGTCAGCACCCCCACGACCTGGTCCATGACCTGGCATTGCAGTGGATCACAGCCTGATCGATCAGGCTGTTACTGCTGGCCACACACAATCCAGCGTATGAATCACAATCTGGCTGGTCAGGGTTAGAAATTTAAAAGATACATGTTAGTGGTTCCATGGACCATGGCCCTTGTGACTCAGACTCAGACCAGGCCTCTTAAATTAAGATATGTTGAGGAAATAAAAAAAAATACACAGAAAAATAAATATAAGTGTACCCTGAATGTAAATACAACTTTATAAATGAATAGAAAAAAAAACAGAAATTGTAACGATAATACAAATAAGAATTACTAACGTTGGTACATGATTGGTACAGTATTGTGTTAAAAAATATTGTCTTGAAATGAAAACCTTGTGCTTTCCTTAATGTCAGAAAGAGATATTGTTTGTACACCTAGATAAAAGATACTGGTATAGCTTTGAATCTTCAATTTTGTTTGAAATATATGCAGTGTTTTTCAAGCACTGACCGATAGCTACAATGTTAAATCTGGGATATCACTCTTATCACAGATAAGTTGTTTCATAAGTAACCAGGATATAATATTTTTGAACCTCACTACCATGGTGCCAAGAAGGTACTTCATACATATTTAATTAAGTTGAAAATCTAGGGTTCTCTTGTTACTAGAAACAGGGTTCTCATGACCATAAAATGAGACCTTAATCTCAATAACAGTAACAGAGTCTTGAGATAACAGTATCAGAGCCTTGGGATAACAGTAACAGAGTCTTGGGATAACAGTAACAAGTCTTGGGATAATAGTATCAGACTCTTGTGATAACAGTAACAGAGTCTTCGTTATTTTTTCCATCACTCTCTGGCCATACCTGGAGTATACCTGGAGTACACTTGGAGTATACTTGGAGGGTGCTCCGGGGGTCAACGTCCCCACAGCCCAGTCCATGACCAGGCCTTGCCTTGTCATGGTACCTACCACAGGCCTGGTCATGCTGGCTACCTGTGGTCATTTTCTGATCGCTTGTCGAACAAGCTGCATCTCTAATGCGCGTTACAGGATACTTATCCTCTGTACCGACACTTCTCAAACCAATGTTTCCATAGCAGACTTTTGCAGATTAGACTCCGGATTGTAGCTGTTTGACCCTTAAGCCGCCCGCACGTGGATGTAGATCTACGTTTGGACAGTTTAAGGGTTAAGCGATGAGCATGCATGCAAAAGTCTTGTACATATTAAAAAGAAAGTTTTTCATTTTGCATTATCACATTAATATCACAAGGAATTATCTTTGAAGATTTATCCACGAAGGACGAATATGTGACATTCTTACAGATTTTGTTACAGTTTATGTAATTTAACATACCTTTTACATTATGTTGATATCACATGGAATTATCTTCAAAATTTAAACACGGAGGTATGAATATGTGACATTCTTGCAGATTTTGTTACAGTTTATATATTTTAACAAAGTTTTGATGAATATTCATTGATCATCATTGCTTTTCATTCACCCTTGGTGGGCATTTGGAAATGAAATCTTTCTTTAATGGCATTGAAGTCTGGCTTTTATTTTTTATTAGCATTTCTACCTTGGCTTGTGAGTGCTACAGTGAACCTTATTTTTGTCCCAAGTTAATGATTTCTTCACATACTGTGTGGGTAAGCTAAATATCAAGGCTCAACGCTTCGTGTCTGTAGTCGTACACAGCATCCGACTACCAGACACGACTAAATAATGTTCTTGCATCCGTTTCTTGGCAATATTCTAAGCAAGTTTTTCCTATATGCTCCATCTGTTTACTAATGACATATGACTGTTGTCTCAGAAGTGACCTAAGATGAATGCAGATCTTTCTTCGGTAAGATATAAGAACTCGTGCCAGATCTCTGTTTTTCTTAGCCTTGAATAGAGCCAAATTGTTAAAGTGGTAAAATAGGTACATCCCTCAGATATTGGCATCTGCTGAGATAAAATGACTTTAATGAATTGATGACCACAGCTTGGGCACTGATATACAGGCAGGTCCCACTTATACAGTAGGTTAGGTTCCCAGCTGCCACTGTAAAGCAAAAATTGCCGTAAAGTGAAACAGCTTTTATTCATTTTCAGATGCATCTAAAAGCCTGATAACATATTTACTCTATTATATATTAAATGAGCACTGGAACTAGGCCTAAAATATATATATACAATACACACATTAATTACCTTAAAATATTTTCATCTTTATCTTATAGTGAGTAGTGAATATATTTATTTTAGGAAGTCTTAATAAATGAAGAATGGGTATAATTGAAAACTTCTGCATTAGCAAAACACCATAAAGCTAAGTGCTGTAAAGCGAGGCCTGCCTGTATTTACACAGGAGTTGTCTTAGAGTGATAGTTTTTGATCCTGGGAGCTAACGTTGATCATATGTGGTCACCACTGTTTTATGTGATCACAGTGTGTGTCATTAGTCTTATTCTTGATATTCTTTACTCTTAAGCTGTGTTTCTTAGTGTCAC